TACCTTACTACAACATTCTCTGGAATTCAAGATTCTGATAAAATTCCTTGGTCTGAGTGTGGATATCAATAATAGTATCAATCAATCAATTACCATCATCATCATTATCATCATCACCTTAATCACCATCACCATCCTATGTTGATGAAAACCTCTTCTGGTAGAGAAACTGTTACAGTTTATAGAATTTGAATAGTGAATTTAAGATGCTGTTTCTTTTGGAGCTAAATTTACTAGATCTCACAGTATTACTAGAAATTGAATAATGTCTTTAAATTACATATAAACTGTTATTAGGAATTGGTAGGGGACGGACCTTTGAAAAGAAACCATTAGTATTCTGGTGTGGTTTTGATTACTAAGATTTATCAAATAAGAAATCTGGTTGGCTTCAAAAGACCATGAAAAGTTTTGCTTTCTCATAGCTACAATTATTCATGATTTGGGAGATTGGCAACAATGAAATGGAACTAATCTTTCTTTTTAAAAAAAAAATTTTTTTAATTGATTTTACAAGTAAAACAAACCAACAACACATACATAAATGAAAGAGAAAAAAAGAAGAAAGGGAGAAGAAAATAAAAAGAAAAAAATAGAAAACAATTAAAAACATTCTCATCTTCAACAGTTTGTAAGACCTCTTTGTTATCCTTATTTTATGCCATATACACACACCTAATCCTTACATATATCTGTGTATCACTACTATGGATTTATCCTATCCTCTTTTGCCTTTTAATGTGAAGTCTATCTTTGGTCTATCCATTTGTACCAGCAGTTCCAGCTGCTGTAGTATATTAGTGTCTTTATTTTTTAATGCCAAAGTTAATTTGTCCATTTTTGCACAACTTGAAATTTTTTGAATGATCATCTCCTCTGATGGAACATGAGATTGCTTCCAACATTGTGCAAAAGCCAATCTGGCCGCTGTCAAAATGTGTATTATTATACATTTCACTTTTTTTTTTGATATTTGTTTATCAAAGATCCCTAACAGAAAGGACTCTGGTTTGAATTCGATCTGTTCTCTTGTCATTTCTTCCAGCTAATTTCTAATTTTCTGCCAATATTTTTGAGCTTCTGTACAGGACCACCACATATGGAAAAAAGTTCCCTCTTCTTTTTTGCAATTCCAGCAATTCGGACTCATATTGGGGTGCATCTTCGCTAATCTCGAAGGAAGAAGGTGCCATCTATAAACATTTTATAGGTGTTTTCTTTGTATACTACCAATTTTGTAATTTTATTATTTCTATCCCAGACCTTTTCCCATTCTGTTATGGTGATGCTATGTCCTATATTCCTACTCCAGGCTATCATGTTCCCTTTTACAATTTCTTCTTCTAATTCTACTTCTAATAAATAATTATAAAATTTTGTTATTTTTTTTGCCTGATCCTAATAAAAATTTATCTAATTGCTGGAGTTTATTGTTGATTCCAAATTCTTTCTTGTCCTGTTTATATCTACTTTGAATTTGAAGGTACGCCCATTGATCAATTTTTTGTCCTCGCTCTTGAAGTTCTTGCCGTGATTTCAAATTTCCTTGTGTATCCAATAGGTCCTTATATTTAATCATTTTAGTGATATCCGGGTTATTTGGGTAAATCATCGCCTCCATTGTTGAAATCCAAATTGGTATTTTTAAATAGTGTTTTTTCTGTAATTTTCTTCCAATTAGTTAATAATGAGTCTCTGATTAGGTGTCTGTGAAAATATTTCTGGCTAGTTTTCCCTACATCCCATAAAAAAGCATGCCACCCCCTCTGCAAGTCATGGCCTTCTAAGAATAATATGCTCTTATTGGTTAAATTCACCCATTCCTTCAACCATACTAAAGAGGCTGCACTATAATACAACTCCCAATTTGGAACTGCCAGCCCTCCCCTGCTCTTTATATCCTGCATTGCCTTTAAATTTATTCTAGGTTTTTTCTCTTGCCAGATAAATTTTACAGTTATTTTATTAAGTTCTTCAAAAAAAAATTTGTGTACTTTGATTGGGATCGTCTGAAATATATATAGGAATTTTGGAAGAATATTCATTTTAATAGCAGCAATCCTGCCTAATAATGAAAGTTGCAGCTTGCCCCATGTTTCTAAATCCTTCTTTATCTGTTGCATAATTATTTTCCTTAAGTATCTTACAATGTGCTGTCAACCATATTCCTAAGTATTTAACTTTCTTTATCACTTGTATGCCCATAACTTCTTCTAGTTCTATTTTCTATTTTTCTGTTAAATTTTTAGTCATTAATTTTGTTTTCTTCCTATTAACTTTAAGTCCTGCTACTGCTTCAAATTGTTCTAATTCATTCATCAATTTTTGTCCTCTTTCTATTGGTTCCTCAATGAAAAAAATCATATCATCCGCAAACGCTTGCAACATATATTCTTCTTTCTTAAACTTTAATCCTTTTATGTCTGGGTTCTGTCTAATTCACTTCTAATGCTTCTAATGATAATATGAAGAGCAGGGGTGAGAGTGGGCAGCCCTGTCTGACTCCTTTTTCTATTTTTATTGGACTGGTATATTCCCCGTTTATTATAATATTAGCCTGTTGTGTATCATAAATGGTTGTTATAATATTTTCAAATTTGGTGCCTAAATTCATATTATAATTTTTTTGGATTAAAAATTGCCAATTTAAATTATCAAAGGCCTTCTCTGCATCTAAAAACATAAGTGTAATTTGTTTTTCGGGGTGGGTTTCATAAAATTCTAAGATGTCTCGTACTATTCTTAAGTTGTTCCTGATATGTCTGGTCGGGAGAAATCCATTTTGATCTTCATATATATGCTCATTTAACATTCTTTTTAGTATACTTACTATAATAGAAGTGAATATTTTGTAATCAGTATTTAACAGTGAAATCAGCCTATAATTATGTATATATCGGGGATCTGAATCCTCCTTCGGGATCAGCAAAATCAATGCCCCCCTCCATGAGTCCAGCATCCTGGCTGCCAATAAGACATCATTAAAAACTTCCACCATAAGAGGTCCTATTTGTTCTGCTATTGCCTTGTACAGCTCCCCTGGAATCCCACCTGGCCCTGAGGATTTATTGTTTTTCTGGTTCTCTATTGCTGATTTCAATTCAAACCAAGTAATGTCTTTTTTAAATAATTCTTCCATTTCTTCCCCAATTGCTTTATCCGTCACTTCATCTAAATAGTTTCTTATTCTATCTTTGTTAACTTCTTCCTTTTTATATAACTCTTCAAAATATTTATGGGCAATTTCTTTTTTTTGTTCTATCTCCTGTTGTATATCCCCCTTTCCATCTATTAGCTGGTATATCAATCTCTTTTCTTTCCTTTTTTAAAGTCTATATGATAGCCATCTCCCTGGCTTATTAGCATGATCAAAATAAGTTTGTCTAGTTATATTCAAGTTTATAATCATTCTCTCTTGTTCAATTAAATTCAATTTATGTTTAGTTATTATCTGATTTTGCAATTTTGAATCCCTTGGGGTACACTGTAATTGAGTTTCTAATTCCTTAATTTTTTGTTGTAATTTGTTTTGTTGGGTGTATTTTTCCTTATTCCTCTTGGCGTTATACAAGATTGTTATACCTCTTATTACTGCCTTCATTGTATCCCAAATGTTTTGTTTCGTAGTTGCTCCATTATCATTTTCCTTTAAGAAATAATTTAATTCCTCCTTGAGTTTGTTGGTGTATTCTTTTTCTCTTATTAACTGAGTATTTAACGTCCATCTTTTCTTGGGTTTTTCCCTACCCTTCCATATTATCTGAATTGGATTGTGATCTGCCCATTCATTAGGTAAAATTTCAATCCCTTTTATCTCATTTGCTATTTCCCCATTCATCCATGCCATATCAATTTGTGTCCATATTTGATGAGGATTTGAATAGAATGTAAATTGTTTTTTCTCGGGATGTGATCTTCTCCATATATCAATCAAATTTAACTCCTTCATCATTTCCATACATATCTTGGGAAGCTCTCTTTCCCCCCCTTTGTTCTCCCCCCCCCCCCGTTACTGTGGTCTTTTTGATAATCAGCAATAGAATTAAAGTCTCCTATGATACAAATATTTCTTTTTTCCAATCCTACTATTTTTCCATAAAGATGCTGAAAAAACTCCTTTTGATCTCCATTCGGGGCATAGATTACCACTAAGAGAATTGGGATGGCATTAATCCATTAAACCAATCTTTCTTGAAACACACTTTTTTTTTTTTACTGTCAACCCTCAGTGAATAGCTTGCTTAATGATTTATGAGGACTAACTTTGCAATTTAGTCAGTACTGAATCAAGAAGACCATTGAAAAAAATGGTAGAGTTCACATTTTGTTGATCATGTTTTATGCACCATTGATGAGTACCATTGTAAAATAATTTGTAAAAGTGTGATCACCCAGTGCAAAAAGGTAAAACTTGCAATTGAGGGATGGATGAATATGTAGTTAAACTGGTAAAAAACAGACTTCAAAAATCAATAAAACTGCCTAAGCAGCTTGAGGTATGCCGTTGAGTTTTCTAACATAATATGGAAAGTAGAAGGCTTAAACTGAGTTCCTTAGATTCTTTATTAGATCAGAGTAATATATCATTTGAACATTAATTAACTTGAATTCTGCTGTTCTAAGAAAACTTACAGTTCACATATGATTTTGCAGAGATGGTCTTAATTTATACCACATTTCATATATGCACCAGATATACAAGTAAATAGTAGTATTCATGTACCATTATTTATAAAATATCTGATATTCACTTGCCAATGATATCATAAATTAAATTACAAGTATATTATACAAATCAACCCAGAAAAAAAATGTTTGGGGTACCATGTATACAAGCTAAAATTCAACATGTATTCAAGAAGCTTAATGTGATTTTCTTCTTGGTTCTACATTTTATAAAATATTCTTTGTTCTAAAATATGTTTGCCCAGAGGTTTAACTTTCTATTTTCTTTCTTTCTTTCTTTCTTTCTTTCTTTCTTTCTTTCTTTCTTTTTTCAGACAGGAAGCATTGCTTGCTGCCATTAGTGAAAAAGATGCAAACATTGCCTTGCTTGAGCTGTCTGCTTCAAAAAAAAAGAAAACGCAGGAAGAAGTGATGGCTTTGAAAAGAGAAAAAGACAGATTGGTCCATCAGCTAAAACAACAGGTTGGGAATCTTTTCTCCCCATTTCTTTCTTGGGACACTGATATTATTCTCTCAGTTTTCTTCTGACTTTAAGTTAAGCCTTAAAACAAACCTTGTGACAGCTGGAGGAAAAGTGAGGATCAAAATACATGTCATCTCTCTTCTATTTTACTGGTCTTTAGCTGAATGTAGAGTTAGCTCATTCCATATATATCTTAGTTTTCCTTTTTCTTCACATCTAACTACTGATTATATAATAGTAGACAGTAAGATTTTGAGCTATGTTCCTCGTACAGAATCCCATTAACTTTGTTTCCTGTATGCTATTGCATTATTTGCTTATTTGGATGGTTAAATTGTGAACCTTTTCCAGGTTTATCTGGAAGTTATATATGTAACTGGATTTCAGCACAAACCTATCTATAATTTGCTTCAGTTATAATTACCAGTTGTATATGTCTGTGTGTGTATACACATGCACACACATTCTTGTCCTCTTTCTTTTTAAAAAATATTACAGCCCACTGTGCAGTATGATTTGTTGTTTTCAATATTTGATTTGAACTAGACCTACATTTAGGATGTCATAACCTTACCTAGCATATACAAGTGAGAACTCAAAACAAATTAATTACTAATCAAATTAATAAATAAAATGAATGTTTATGCCTTGGGATAAAAATTTAAGAACTAATTATTCATTTCAAACAATCAAATTTATCATGTCATTTTTTCCAATTTTTGTTGGGGATACACTGTATATTTTTAAGCTACTATCCATGTTATAATCTTAGCTTTTCATCAACCAGGAGGGACATGGCTCTATTGACAGGTACTTGGGCTGATAACATCAGGTTATTAGAGATGCTAGGTAAGATGATTTTACCCAGTTATCCTGAAACAGTTTCATCCCATTAGACTTATGAAGTGGATAGAGACCTCCGTGCTAACAGCACAACTACCTGTCATATAGATCCATGTCCATCCTAGCTGATGAAAACCTCCAGAATGGAGACCTTTAGATAAGTTCAGGCAGTGATAAATGCACTATTGCAAGAGGGATGTTCCTAGGACCTTACCTACTTTGTTCAGGTAGACTGCAGTCATGCAGGATTAATGGATTCATCCCAGTTATCTTTACATTACCAGAAATTTCTTAAATGACTGAGATAATGACTTTTCTCCATTTACAGTTGTCCCAAGTTGTCCCAATATAGATTTCAGAAATTATTCTCTAGTACGCCACTCCTCTTTATTTGTTTCAAATAAAGGGAGGTTTACACCCATGCTGAACTTGTCTGGTTTGTTGCTTCTCTCACTCTACAATGTCTTTCAGAATATCTCCCATGAATGACAAGTTGTCATTTAGAAGCAAAATATACAATCCTACTTTTTAGACCTGTGGTGGTGCAGTGATTAGAATGTAGTACTGCAGGCTACTTCTGCTGACTGCAGGTTGCAGTTTGGCAGTGAGTCTCACCTGCTCAAAGTTGACTCAACCTTCCATCCTTCTGAGGCAGGCAAAATGAGGACCCAGATTGTTGAGGGCAAAATTCTGGCTCTATAAACCATTTAGAGAGGTCTGTAAAGCACTGAAAAGTGGTGTATAAGTCTAAGTGCTAACTGCTATTGCTATAATGATAGTAAATAGAAAGCAAATCCTAAAATCATCCTTGTTACTGCATAGCCTGGCTTTTACTGACATTGATCGCATGAAGATATGGATAGAAATGTGATCTCTGTATGCAAGAAAGCCCATTGCTAATTATACAGATTTTCCTCAACTATTTAAAAAGTATAGAAAGACTGAAACTAAAAACAGCAATAAACCCCTCCCAAAAGCCCTACCCTTTGTTAAACAAGACACATACCATTTCCCCACTTTTATCTGTTTTCTTGTGCCACATAATGGTACATTAATCACTTTATCTTCTAGACATTTAATTTTTCTGGGAATTGTCTATCTTCCCAAGTAGTCACCAAAATCCCTATAATTGAAAAGCTTCCTTTATGAAAAATGGATGGCCTTGAGTGTCAAAGATTTGCCATCTAAAGGTCAGATCTCATTTTTCTTTCTGAGAAAGTGTGAAAAGGAATAATAATTTATCTGAGTGATTAGCAAACTTAGACTTCCCAAAACTGAAGGTTTGTATTTTGAAACTTAGCAATAACAATAGCACTTAGACTTATATGCAGCTTTACAGTGCTTTTACAGTCCTCTCTAGATCGTTTACAGAGTCAGCATATTGCCCCCAACAATTTGGGTCTTCTTCATTTTACTCACCTTGGAAAGATGGAAGGATAAGCCAACCTTGAGCCTGGTGAGATTTGAAGTGCCAAATTTCAGTCAGCCAGTAGTCAGCAAAAGTAGCCTGCAATACTGCATTCTAACCACTGTCACAGCTCAACTTAGGGCCATTACTCCCATGTCATCTTGGAACATATCACAACATTGGTTTGTTTCTGAAACAGAATTTTGGACTTGTGGATCAGGATCAGGTTTTTCTCCTTACTCGTTTTCTTCCATTCTCTTGCAAATTATGACCACCTGACCATATTTGTGAATGCATGTATAGAAGACCAAGTAAAGCTGGCTTCTCTCCATACCAGGTGAGATTCAGAAGAAGAAAGGGAAGGATAGAAGAGCCTATTTTCATCTATATCTTTTTAAAGAGCTGTGCCATATTAAGGGGTCTCCTACTCCTATTCTCCAAAGCATGTTCATCTTGTGGGAAGGAGTGGTTAGGGGTATCCTTACATAGAGCCACATTGTCTGCAAGCATCTGCAGGTACTTTTCTAGAGAAAGAAAGTGTAAGATAAATGGATTTTCCTTCCCCTTCCTCCTTGGATACTCATCAAAATCAGTCACTTATCCTCTCTGCAATGACGAACAGAAGATGGTTCAATCATTATTATCAGGAAGTTCCTTACTGATTTCATTTGCAAAGTTTGTAACACATAATTTAAATCTTCAAACAGAAAGTGGTAGGCCTTTTGTTAATGTATCCACATGAGTGATATTTCAGATTGAAATACATGTCCTATATATTAGTGACTTAGAATAATGTTGCTGAAATATCATAGTTCTGTAAATGGTTAGTATGTATTACTCTTTAGGCGCAATGCAATGTCCTCCTTTGGATGGACTTGGTGATTTGAAGACTTCTGTTTATCCACTTATCGATGAAACAGATCTCAGAGGAACTAGTTTTTGTTTGCACTGCAAATCATACTGAAGAAAGCCATAAAAATGTTGGTCTCTGATTAGAAAAAGTCTAGGATGACAGGCTATATTTAATTATGCTTCCTTTTCCTAATGCTCTTAATTCTTTTCCTTTGAAAAAAGTAAAGTATTCTTACTATGAAGGTAACTGCTTATGTCAGGTACCGAATCCTGATTCATGAGGGGTGGAATTTATATTTATAGATCGCCAAACATTTAAAAAATGATTGTTTAAAAGAAAACATACTCTTTCACATGGTACAATGTCCAACCAAGATTAACAAAGAAACAGTTGGACATTGTAAGAATAAATCCATGAAAAATCAAAATAATGCTGCAGTAATTGTCAACAAAATAAAATACACTTGTTAATCATTGTAATAAATTCATGTATTATTTATTTAGTATGGAGAAATAATATCTAGACATACTTCTGTCTGTATAATTTTAATGTGATATCTATTTTTTTAAATCACCCTTACATTAAATTGTTTATATAGTAATGTAATTGAATGTTTTAGGAATTTCCAGGGGTCTCATCATACCCAGCTGGAATTTTAAAATTTCCCATAAACATGCTCATGGAAAAGAACATGGAACTACTTTTGTTATACACATCTAAATCAGCTTTGTAGCAGTTAATTTAGGAATAAGTAAATTTTGTTTTGTTTGCATATTACCGTAATGCCAAAGGACTCAATTAAGCCTTTTTTCAAAGGTGATGCAACTGACATGGAATCAGGCTCCATTTTGGCATTTATTTTTTGGAAAAAAAATTTTCAATCAAAATATATGTACAAAACTGCATGCACTGAAAAGTGCATAAAGCGCCTAGCTACTTGTTTATAGACAAGCATATATTTATCTGTAATTGTATAGGTTTCCTAATTGAGCATGGAGTTGGACTAGATAGAAGTTCTCCAAGCTCACTTCCAACTCTGTTATTCCATTATATACAGTAGAAATGTATACAAATAACGTTTGAGTAATGCACAACATTTTAAAAATAAAATGTGCTTTACAAAAGGGAAAAGATTAAAAAGAAAATCAGGCTGATGCATCTTTTAGTCAGTTTTCCAAAATAATTTGCCAACCAGCAAATTATCTGACACGCAAATTTTGTTCAATTGTATGTTAAAGTGTACTAGACAGTAGACTAGAATGTATAAATATTGAATTTTACTAACAGAAAATCCATAAACTGATGTCCTCTGAAAATATTATTTAGATCAGAGGGAAGGAGAACTATCTTACTGTTATGTTAGATTCCCTACAAACCAAGATTTCTTTATGCAATATCCATTCTGTCTTTCTTGACTTTATATCTACAGGATATAGTGAAGCATAGACTGACTTAAAACATGAGGCAATGCTATTACACCTTGTGGATTACCTCAATATAACAAATTGATTCAAAGCAATTTGTTGTGATTGGTTTAATGCCAAATGGATTGATTCCATCAGAATGTGTAATGCATCAAAGCAATATACTGAGGTTGAATTACCAAAACCCAATATGTCTAAGTTTATTTCATTCACATAATATTTCGTAGGCTATTAAGGATTGTCTATTAGGTAGATCTTAATTGCCTCTGTATTGTCTTTCTACATGCTTCTTTAAAGGTATTTCCAAGGTTAAACATTAGTTAAAGCTCCTGAGAACAATGACTTTTATTATGAGAAGAAAAGATGTATAGTACATATTCCAGGTGCCAAATTATAAACATACATTGATTTCCCTTATATTTCTGAAACACCTCCTTTAAATTGATTATGTGTCATCAAATCAGTGTCAAC